CCTGCGATCACCACCGTAGAACTGAACCTCATATCAGAAATCATCATAACATGCAGTGTTCACCTTGGTTTTCTATGAGGTTATATCCTCTATTACAGAATGTTGTGGCTTAATGTTTGCTCTTAAAATTTTGATTATAAAATATATTTATGTGGACTTGAAGAAGAGTGGTCATTTACCTACCGATCAAAACTGCAGCAGTCACACTTAAGTAAAACTCCATCCAATACTGTAACACTTTCAAAGCCAAGGAAACTACTTCTAACTGATGCCCAGTGAACATTGCAGTAGTGTAATGAGGTCTTACATCTTCCAGAAGTTTCAAAGCGCCACAGGCTCCATCTTGGGAGGAAATCTTAAGTGGAGGAAGACACAAAGAAGCATTATAAAAGCTGTTGACTCTTGTTTTCAGGACTCACAGGTAAAGGGTTAAAGGTCAGTAATGACAGAGGTCGGGTTAAATCAAGTTCGACCCCTGCCTTTAATCAGTACAAGCCGCTTTTTAAACAGGCTGTAAATCTGGGTAGTTTGTGTGTAGATTAGTATCAACAGCCAAAGTGAAACCTTCCCTCCTGAGAGAGAACAGTTCCAAAACTACACCAACAAAACTCATTTTACTGATTAGACATGACAGTGTAGAGGTAAAAAGGAGCGTATTAGTGCAGCCAGCAAGAAAAAGCTTTGCTGAAGTTTGAATAGTCTTCAAACTGCCCTGCTGCAGCAGAAACCCACAGGAGCCCACTGGAAGCTACCGTCTGATTGGTTCAAAGCACTTCAGCGTTAGCCAGAGTGAATCAGCAGAGACAGAGGTGAAGCAGAGGAGGAAGGCAGGGTAGTCCCTGAAAGCACAGCCAAGATTAAACAATACGTTACTCTGAGGTCAAACTATGCTGGAGAAGTTAGAGGCCAGTACAAGTTTACTTGTTTACTTGAACTAAAAGTTCCCTTGCACAGCAGTGCAATACAGTCAGGAAATGCCAAATTGGAGGAGAGCATGAACAGATCTAGGACTAAATACCATCGTCAATATTCACAAATCAAGACTAAAAGTAGCTCCCAACTTGCCAATTTAGGGGGAACATATCAGTCTTCACTTGACAAAGCAGTTTGAAAATCTGAGAGAAGGTAGAGATAATCCAGAGACAGCAGCATCCATTTAGCAATATGGTCATATATTAAAGATCTAATCATCCCACTAACGATCAGCAACATCGATCTTCTGTGATCGAGCTGATCGTTGATCAAAGACCAACTCCTATCGGTTTGCTTTCATCCCATCTATCCATCCATGTAATATCAAACCCTAGTTTCAATCATATCATCATATGAAAGTCTTTGAAAATGGACTATTTTAAGTTTTTTGTTGCCATTTAAGTCTCAGCTGAAAGAAACTAAGTTGACTTGGGGTCAAAGTAATCAACAGAGTTTCAAATTAAGAAAAACAAAAACCCTGGGACAGACTGGCGACCTGTCCAGGGTGTACCCGCCCCTCGCCCTATGATGGTTGGGATGAACATGCACCATTGTAACAGTATTTACATGACACTTTCATAAGAAAAAGCACGACCAATTCCTCTGAAATCAAAACAACCATCATTCAATAAATTAAAAACAATAAATCGATGGTGAACATGTGTTTTCCACATATACTGGTGTAAGGGCACCAAACCACCATATACTGCACTTCTTGGCTCAGGCAAATTATATGGCTTAATAATAATATAAGCAGGCAGGATACTTCTGTACAAAAAAAAAAGTTTGGTGACACCATTTAGTGTGTATTTAAGTATCTGACAGTAGGTTTTCTGTAGAGACAGATCTAAAACTAATAAAAGACAGATGAAAGTCTGCGACAGCAACACTAAAACGCTGTTTTTATTCCCACAAACTAACTGCATCTGGTGTGGCTTCATCGCGAACTCTTGATCCATTTTCTGAAAATGTGAACCAGAATCTATAAGCCCAAATGAAGTCCACAGACACAGAGCTGCGTTAATTAGCCAGATCTCTTTGACATGAACCAAAGCCACATAAAAACAGAGCCCCGCTCCCAGTAAATGGTTTTCCCCGTCTGGAGAGCTTTGGGATTTACAACGCCAGCCCTCGCCCACTCTCTCAGTTGTCGGACTTTTTAATTGCTCCCTTAACAAAGCACACACACGTAAACACAGCAACATTTTGTGCAGCTGCCTGCATGCATGGCTGTTCAGAAAACTACTCACAATGCACACCACAGTCCCACTCTTTCCTCTCACATGCTCCCTGTTCTTTCAGCCTTCTTGTTAAGCAGCAGCTTCTCTCTGCATCCTGCTTGATGGTGAGGCCAGACTAACTGCATGTTTGTCAGCTCATCATAGTCACCGTCAGATGCTGGAGACTATTATAAGAAAAACCAGACTAAGAGCATTAACAAACCCATCATTGTTAGTGTTTTTGTGTCTATGCCTCATGTAGCAGAGTGTAATGAGGAAGGTCAAATACAGACGCTGTAGGTCTCTTTTTAAAAACACACAGGCCAGTGTGTTCTTAAGGCGGGGCCTGGGCTAACAACACACACGAGCTCAGTGGAGTTTGAGCCGAGACGCAGAGCAATTGCAGTGGGGGTGCGGTATGAATTAAAAAACAAACAAACAAACTTGGACACAGCTAGCATAATGGACAGGTTTTTGATGGGGCTCCCACACAAACTCAAAGCAGAAGATAAAGCATTGTCAAATATGTTTCCAAACCAACTTCCTTCAAACCCAAATACTAGAAAATATGTGCAAATCAAAAGTAAATGATTTAACCAAGCATTGCTAGCTGCACGCCATAAGACAGGAAGAGGAAACAGTGGCTGGAAATAACTCATGTGGTTACGCAGCGAAAACGCAGGGCTTCAAGTAGCTGGTTAAAAAGCTCAACCCAAGGTCCAACATTCCAGGTATAGCAGCAGGTAGAGATTTACTATTGCACAATAATGCTGCCACTACTGGCATCTTGTTGGAACACATTCACACTTCAGATTAGGTAATGTGTCATCAATGACAGCAGCTCACTGAGAAAATGGAATTATTCTAATGCCACTAGAGGATGGCTGCAAAAGCAATCACCATAGACCCCATGCCCCAAATAAGCCAACAAAATAAAATAACTACCTAACTTTAAACTTCTCCATTTGGATATTGTTCAGGCTTAAATTAAGGGACGACTGGCTGATGTGGTAACATAGACCAATGTAGCAGATTGCTCTCCTCTTCACATCCACAATTGTTAGTTACTCTACTGTGCCTCTCAACAATGTTTATTTTTAAGTGAACTATGACAAATAATATGGGTTGCTGTGTGGTACACATATGTTCCAGATTAGGTAAGTGACATTATTGTACTGTGTCTATATGTTATTTAGCACTGATTAGCAGGTATCTGCATCCATGTGTAGCACCCACACAATTTATGGATGCAACTTGTAGAGACCATAAACCGGTGGATGATGTCATAGTGGGCATATCAATCTTTTATACGTAGTCAATAAGTGAAAACGGTAGCATGGTGCCATTGACTAGCTAACTAGTGTTAATAGGCTAAGATACCTTTTCAGTGGTTTCACAGATATTCTACTGTCACTAATAATATACTGTTATTTACTCTGATTGGGGCAATCTGATGACCAAAGGTTCAGCATTACAGTAACCAGCTACAGGCCACCTATGCAGGTTTTGCTATGTATGCTCTACATATTAGCATGCATTTATTTATTTATTTATTTGAATAGATTTTATAGTATTATCTACACTGTGTCTGCAGGTTCATCTTCCAGCAATAAGAGAGTACAGCACTGGCATCTATAACAGATAACTCTCCTGTCACCTGCTGCTGCTGATAAAAAACTACTTTAATTTTACAAGAGAAATGTCACTGACGACATAAGACGAGCCAGTGCTGCTTAATAATAGTCAGAAAAGTGTGAAAGCACACCGCTGCTAAATTTAAGAATGTAAGATCTGCAACTAAGCTATCAACGTGTAAAGGTGATGCTGTGGGTGTTTATGGCTGGACTGCCATTACACCCTTGTATCAAGTATAATTCACTGTCAGACCGATTTGATTGCAGGTCAAACAGAATCAAATTTACACTTAGCAGCTTTAAGGAAGCTATTATGCTCCTCCTATTATGCTTTCACTTATTTTCCATCAAATAATGCTCCAATTGTCGATGTTCATTTTAAACAAGGTCAAGGTTTCAAATAATGAGGTCAGTGTATGTATAATTAATCTATGTGAGCCAACAGCTCAGATTGCTCTAAACACTTGGTGTCAGACAGTTTTTCTACTCTTTGCTTTGCATGAAATCCCAAGGTGACCATGTTAGACACATGGTCACCTTGGGAACACAGCCCACTCACCTGTTGTTTAAACATTTTGTTTGATAGCCAATCAGAAGGAACACTGGGTTTCCTATCTTAAAACACGTATATTCACCCCTTTAAGGCAGATGACATATATGAAACCCTGCCAGCATATATATCCTGCTGTCATCACAATCATTCCTCAGAAAACCTCTAACAAATATGAAGTTTGCTTAGCTGACAGTGCTGAAGTTAGCCACTGCTCTTCAGATGGGGTATAGGCTGCCTGTGGAGCATTAATTTCAAGTCTTCCATGCAGTAGTATCCATTCTTATTTGGATGGACATGCTCAATATTTTGGTATATTCTGCACTTTGTTTGAAAGCGCTTTATAAATAAAGTTATTATTATTATCAAATTGAAGCAAATGAAGAGATCTTCTATTCAATACTATTTCTCTTTACATGAGAAGAAACAGCATGAGGGATGCCCTGCCTGTCTGGGGTCTACAACACTAGCAGAATGCTGACTGAACCCAAAGAAAATGTGTTTTGTCACCAGCTCTAGCGTTCAACCCTGAGGAAGACGGGTGACATTTGTGTAGGAAGTGCTGGGAAAGACAACATATCTGTTTTCTCTGTTTTGCCACACAGTGGTGAAGCTGCAGGTGGAGTGGCATACTCCACTGGTTTTCAGGGTTTTCTTCCTACCCTTAACAATTGTAAAAATACACGCGGCCCTGTTCCCGGATTTTGTTTTAGAGCCAGCCTCTACAAGGGTCAAATCAGTGACTACCCACATCCCTGTGCCTTGCTATGGATAGTAACTGGACCTGGACGGTGGGGTGGAAGATGGCTTAGTTAACCGAACACATATTTAGCTGTGCCTGGTTGCTTATCTGGCCCTATGGTGGCTTCTAAAGTCTTTCGTCTAAGCACTGCATCTCAGGTGGACAACATTTATTAGACTTTAGTCTTCAGTGCCTCCATCATGAGGTCTGTCACCATGCTCCACACATACCAGGCAATATTCTTCTGTTTTACTAGCCAAATGTAAAGCTTTATCTAAACAGAGGCTTTTCCATTCGTTCTGTGGAGGCCATCTTTATAGTTTACAGTACCAAAGATCTCTTGTTGCCTCAGGGTGTGCATGCACTTTCTACCAGGGGAATGGCAACCTCATGGGCCCTTCTATGAGCGACTATCAGCTGGATGTGAAAGCTCCTTCAGTGGCTCATTCTGTCTTTTCTGTCATGCACTAGGGTGCTGGTGGTTAGGCTCTTGTTTGGTAGCATGAGAGATTTTTCCTGAAGGAGAGACACTAAGTACAGCACCAAGTCACCCCACCACACAGCTGCACTCCGTGAAGAGCCGATATTTAAGGGATAACTGTGAAGACGACAGGGGCTATCAGTGCAGGTGTCACATATGTAATCACATGTAAACAAAGGGGGGAAAATATACTGTATTTTTGTACCTCGTTCCTCTCCTTCACAGAACAGAAGGTGCTTTTTTCCCCCTCTCTTTTTTTTTTTTTTTTTTTAAATAAACAGACCTTAATGAAACAGAACCTCAAGTACAAATATGACTCCATAGACTCTAGTGCTTAATGTCTTATTAGAATAACAGCAACAAGAAAATCATAGGGAATTATTTTCAATTTTGTTTAGGACAGACACACTTTAAGGACCCCTGGTTGTGCCAAGACCCACAAACAAACAGCAGCTTCTTTAAAGGTGAGCAGAGCGATCGATGGCAGTGAAGAGTTGAGAGTTTTAGTGAGCAAGAGGATTAATGCAGCCTGAGCAGAAACAGAAGTGTGTGGTGAACAAGAGAAAAGCAGTAAGTGTGTCATCCATACGAGGTATTAAATTCATCACACACATCGCATGAATGCAAGTGTTGATGTGAAGAATGTAAGCGTGGGAGGAAAATAATGCACGTTTTCTCACCTCTTTGGCTCTCTGCACGGCATCACTGGGGGGGTTTCGGATCTGTGGGGATGACTTGGTGTTGATCTTATCGTAGAGCTGAAAGATAAAAAGCACAAGGACAATGAGCTGGACAGCGAGACTGTGACCAGAAATGAGTTTTCACTGAGGTCAACACGACCAACGACACGTCTTCTACATATTTGCTATATCAGACAAAGCTGTTCATGGCTGCAACATTCACATAGTAACTTCCTGATGCTACATCAATATCGCTTTATTGAACACATTTGAAAATGTGGGAATGTGTACATGCTTCCACTTTATTTTCACGGTTGAGTTCTAATATACATATACGAGTTACAAAAACCCCCAACAAAGAGCAACAACCACAACAAAAATCCCAGCATTACCTTTTTTGGCAATTTGCGCTACAGTAGCTCATCTGTTGGATCGGACCACGTGGGCCACTTTTTAATCACTGACCACTGCAGACTGGGAACACCCCACAAGATCTGCACTTTTTAAGATTCTCTGACCCAGTTGTCCAGCTATCACAATTTGGCCCGTGTCACACACGTGCTCGCATCCTTGCGCCTGCCCATTTTTCCTGCATCCAACACATCAACTTTGAGGACAAGAGAATCCTTAATATAACGCAACCACTAACAGGTGCCATGATGAAGAGATAATCAGTGTTATTCACGTCACCTGTCAATGTTATGCCTGATCAGTGTATAGAGACACATAAGATATGGAGAGAAAACTATATTAATAAAAAACAAAACAAAAAAAAACACTACGACAACAAAAAAGAAAAACTCTTCAAAGACCAAATAAAAATGGATAAATGTATTTTGAATAATGTCTTCTGTGGCCAAGGCTAAGCGAAACAGTAAATGGCCTGTATTTGTATAGCGCTTTACTTAGTCCCTGAGGACCCCAAAGCGCTTTACACTACATTCAGTCATCCACACACACATTCACACACTGGTGATGGCAGCTACAGTGTAGCCACAGCTGCCCTGGGCCGCACTGACAGAGGCGAAATCCACAAGAACAGCACACATTTGCAAAATAATGTGTGGCACCTTAGAACCATTCAACCACTTCCATCCTCTGACCTTTAGATTTGCTCTCAGCTCCTTCAACAAACCACTGAATGAGGGGGATGTTTTAGGAACATTGATGTTTCATTCACTAATAACCAAGAGCACAAAGACATTCTGACAGTAGGCGGTGGGCCAACACCTTACTCTGCTCTTCAGGCTGTTTTTCCCTTTTATATATTATATTAAACACATTATATACATTATATTTAAACCCAGAAAATGGTTAGAGCCTTAATGTTTATCAGAACACGGTCAATGTGCGTATGTGCACAAAACTGCTCAACTAGTACACCTTTCCAAGTTTTATGAGTAGAAATTCACAAGGTTTCAGCAGCAACAACAACCACATCTCTCTCTTTGGCTGCATCAAGTGCACACAAAATTAAAATTGATGTAACACTTAAACTTAAAGCAGTTTCTATGAAAAAGCGTAAGCTTGAGTGCTGATGCCACTTTTACAGTTTGCCCCCCCCGTCCTAAAACCGCCACAACCTTGTTTCCTCATCACTCTGACTGAAAGACAACAGAAACAAGCTTATAAAAATCCTGTGACTAATAAACAGCACTGCTCCGCATCGCCGATGTTTATTAACGAGACTGCATGTCTGGATAGAAAAGTGGCCCTGGACACAGTCCAAACAAAAGCAGCAGCTGAAGCTCAAATCAAAGCAGAGGGTGGCTTTTTGGAACAAAAGACACAGACAACCACAGCTGTGGAAAGCAGCTCTAATCATATACAAAGCAACAACAATGTGATGTTTGAGGAGCAACTTGTAGTTTTCATTTAACCTGCTCTGCAGTGCATGAGCAGGCTGCATAATGTGTACAAAGAAAAGCACTCTCGGAGGCAGACACAGAGTCACAGACAAACTGTGTTTGTACCAGCCCTAGACTCAACGCTGCTCTGTTCTCCCTCTTACAAACACGACAGCAGACGACATCATGCAGCGCACAATGATAAACATTAACCTAAAAAATCTTTTTGCATTTTGTACACCAAGTACATGTAGCTGCTGTTTCACTGCACTGAGACATTCACTTTGCTTCTAGTTTGAATCAAAAGTGTCTGCAGCTGTCTTAAGAAAAGCGTGCCTTCGTGGAGGGGGTGAAATGCACAAACAGAAGTCGTCTGTGGTGCTACACATGCCCAAAACTGAAGTTTGAAGTTGTGCGACTAAATACTCGGCTGCCCAAGATTCTTATTTTCTGGTTCACGATCACAAAAAAAAGCCCCAAAATATTTATATATATTTCTAAAAAAAATATTTTTTAAACAATGACAATCCTAATTTCCCTCTGAATAATTTACAGGAAGACATGCAGGTGTTCTTTGGCTGGTGTTCTAATTGTATTTAAATTGAGCCCATTATGCTCATTTCAACTCCATATTTTAACATGGCCTTTACTAGAGTAGCTTTGCATGACTCACAGCTTGAAATAATCCTTTTTTTTTTTAACCTAATTCCAGGTGTTAGTGCAGCCCATCAGTTCATCCTCTGTCTGAAATGATCCATTTTAGCTCCCTTCCTCTTCCCTTAAGCAAGCTTGATTCTGATTGGCCATCCCAGGTAGACTAAAGATTTTAACAGGTGGGCGGGGCTTACATGTTTACAGCCAGAGCTCTGCACCTGAGATGATGATATAGAGCCAGTCTGAATTGGAGCACTTAGAGCAGCATGAAGCTCGAACTTTTGGCTTTTTCACTTGAGCCACAGTGAGTATTTCTCAGGGGAAACAACATTGAGATCTGCTTTGTTTCAACCAGAGCCTTGCCTTATTTTTTGGTTTCAAATGCCAGTGGGAACACAAAGCTGTGCTTCTTCTGGCATCCACTTAATTGTTTCAGTCTCTTCAGTCTGACTTTCTCCTGCCTTCCTGTCTCAGCGGTGCAGCCTTCTCTCTTACAACATTATCATCACTGTTTCCGCTTCACCTCCAGGTTAATTTTTTTTTTTTATATAGAGAAATAGAAGTGTGGAAATATGCAGATGGTATGTAGACTGAATGCACAAACCTGTTGGTTCAGGTGGTTAAGAAAAGCCTGGGTAGGCACAACAGGCTGGTGTGCATGATTCATAAATCCAATTTTACATATGCACTTTTTTGCACAGGGTAACAATGTTTCCACATACATATTAATAAAGAACAGCCTTTATTTGTAGCTTTGGTGAGGCTCAGTAATGACACACAAATCTGGAATGCAGTGTTAATTTTAGTTCTGGATAAGGGAACAGTGACTTCTTTCCATTATAGAGCTGTAGGGGGAAACGAGAAAACATCAGCTATCGCAAGGAATGAGTTGTAAGACACATCTGGTACATTCCTGTAAGTTTCTAATGGTTCATCCACACATGGACATCAGTCCTCTAAACTGGAATGAGGGCTGGCAGACAAAGGAAGAGAGACGTAGGAGAGGAGGGACTGTGAGTCAATAGCAGTATACTGGGGAGGAAGATGCTGATTACAACATTAGGTAGAGTTCCAATGCCTGTACCGCTGTGACAACCTGACATCGCCAGGAAAAAAAAAAGCACCAAAAGAAACCTACACAGATTGCACGCACACATCTCAACAGTGCATTTGTATCCAATTCTTTTTGAACAAACTCCTCAAAAGACAAACAGCACACTCCTCAGGAAACCTGAATGGCGGTTGGCACCACGAGTGCGTGCTGTGCCACACGCCGTCCGCAGCCACTGAGCATTTACGCATATTTACTGCGCTCATGTCCTCATGCTTTCAACATCTTTCTGGTTTTGTTGAGTGTTAAGCAATCGTGAGCTGACCTCTGATGGAGTTTTACATAAAAGTGTAGCAAAGACCGAAGTCTGAATTAAGGGTAACAAAAGACAAACCAACCAACGAGACGCTCAAAGATATGTGCACAGATGCAGATTTCACTGTTACAGCTGTCACACACAGGCACACATTCGATCATGATCTCGTGACGGCGTGTGCATGTGGCAACAGCCACGACAAACAAGCGACGGCTCTTATTTTATGATGAGAAACAGTGCGATTTCCTCATTTCTTATTAGTGACAAGTAAATGCAGACATCAGTTCCTTGAGGGTAACTTCTTTTTCCTCGCCTCCATTAGCTCGAAAGCCTGAGGAGTTTCGGATACACGAGGGAAAAAAAAAGAAAAATACAAATACAAATGCACTCGACTAAAATGCCTCATTATACATGTCAAACGCCAGAAACACACACTGGGGGATGTCGGGTTGACTTCGAATTAGCTTGAGGCATGTCTTGACAAAACTCTTTGTGCGAACACATCAGATGAAGGGAAAAAAAACGGAAGACAACAAACTCACCCAAAAGACAGAAAGTGTAGTGTCACAAAAACACAGCCAATAGATCGCAAACACACAGACATGAGTTTTGTAAGCCAGGAGGCTCCATCCGTTCACCGTCTTCAGGATTTTGTGTATTCCCTCGATGTGCAGGCGACTTTGAGCCGCGCATACAGTGATGAAGGGTGCGCTTGCTGTGAATGGCACTGAGGCCTGACAATACCAGCCATTGTTTATTTTCAATGACCGAGGCTGGCCTGTGATGCTCTGTCCTTTCCTGACTCCCCCTCCTCAGAGCAGGGCTGGGGTGTGAAAGTGGGGGTGAACAGGAGAGATCTGCATGTTTGACTGTTTCATGTTATTGTATTTGAGCTGCTTACAACACAGAGTGTTTGTAAAAGGGCTTGGCACTGTTGACTGGAAACTGTATATTCAAAGATGTGGACAAATTTGTCATTTGTCATTGAAACAATGCTTCATTTCTCCTGAAAAATGGTTCAGTTAAAAGCAGTTATTGAATATATACCTGTATTATCTTTGAGATGTAATAGAGTACAATTATCAAAACAAATGCTGCTGTACGGCCTATTTGTAGGCAAAAACATGCAACTGTAGTTTGATATCATTGTGTACAGTGAACATGGATGAGAGAAAGCAAAGGAGAGAGCTGGTTGAGGAGTTCTATAGATAGCAATGTTAAAGACAAAGGCCATGAGACAATCTCCAAGCAGCTTCATGTTCTTGTGACCAAAGTTGACAATAGTATTGCAAATTAGAAGGTTAATGAGACTGTGGCCAACCTCCTGGGACTCAAGAGGAAATGCAAGACCAGGTTGATCAGAAGCATGGTCTGGATGATTGAACAAGAGCAACGAAATCATCCAAAACCAACGAACCAGTGTGTTCTGATCACACCATCCGTTTAATTTTGAACACTAATGAACATCAAAAACAGGAATGCACCAAAATGCATGCTGATGAGCCCAAAAGCTTCTGGGAGGATGTCCTTTTGTCAGATGAGATGAAACTGGAGCCTTTGACCTTTCAGATGAGCTCTGTGTTTACAGAAGGAAAAAATTAAAGAACACCATGCCTACTCTGAAAACTGGAGCTTGGAGACGCTGGCCTTCAAAGCTGAGACAGCTTGAGCAGTTGCTGCAAAAGGTGGTCCTACAAAATATTCTCCCGAGAACCAGCCTATACATTTAAGTCACACTGTGGACATTTGGTTTTGGTCTATATCTTTTGACTTATTTGAGCTATCCTACTAAGACCTGATGTACTAAATAGAGGACATCCTGGGCTTTCCACTGATATCTCATGTGTTTGGGTGGCCTCTTTTAGCTCCAAAGTGGAAGGAAATCCCCATAAAAGTTCAATGGTTCTCCGGAAGATATTAAATTAAGGGTACCATCTTTGGTGTCCATGCTAAATATGGAAAAATATTAAGGGGATACCATTAGTTACAAGAGTTTGTCTTTTAAATGATGAAGTGTATCTAAAAATTTGTCCACACTTGTACTTTAGAGTGAAAACAACTAAACACATAATTGGCCAAAACAGTCCTGAGAGCTGAATTTGATCAATCAATCCTACTTTGAGTCAAATCCTAAGTTAAATTCTCCCATTGATTTTAACCAATTTGTTTTAAATGCAGAAATATGTGTATTAAAGTAGCTGAGCTAAATCTCAACACAGAGCACATTAACTGGCATTTGCTCATATTCATTGTAATTATCTTTCACTTAATGATGTGCCTCATTTACTATAAAAACACCGCTCACACCGGCTTTTTCAGTTTAACAAACTACAGCGCAGAAATCAGACTAAACAAAGTGGATCAAAGGAAGAGAAAGCACAGCTGCCTCAGAGGCAAAATGATGTGCTCGGAGTCCAACTAAATCTTATATGTGGTCTGGCCCCTGTGCTGCGATTTTGTGACCCAATACGGTTTGAATGTGGCGCACCAAGTTGTAGGTTACGGTCTGCTGCTGTCACCTACGACTCAGATGTTTCTGTCAACATCCCTGAGTCACGGAAACAAGCAGCAACCGGACCATTTGTCAAGTCCAAGCGAGCTGCTGCTGCTGCTGTGTTAAGGACACATCTTAAAAAACAACATGACCTTTTCATAATGCCTCCAGAGGAAAGAGCATCCCCGTGTGTGGAAAGATGCTATTTATGCCTTATATATATTTCACACACTTTTTTCTACACTAACCTGTGTATGATATCACAGAGAGGACCTATCCCTTTTATAATACAGTACTGTCCCTGACCACAGACGCTGCATGCACCTGCTGATCGACCCTAAAACATTAAATTGAACCATGAATAATGCAAAACTTCACTATCAGAGGCCAAAGTTAAAAAAAATGCAGAGCTGGAAATGAGCAGAAAAAGGCTTTAATATTCATGCGTGAGGCTGCTTCCAAATCCCCTCGCTGCAGAAAGAGTGGCTGCTCTGTCCAAACCAAACTCACAGACGAGCAGCAGAATAAAGAGGTAATAAAGTTTATAACACATGATTATGTAGCAGTAAGAAACACATATTTTTAAAAAGGTCTTTGTTAACAACACCTGTAAGAAGAGGCTGTGGAAATTGTTTCACAGTAAAGCAGAGCTGTAGTATTAAGTGACGATTTCATAGGAGCAGCTGGGCTTATCAACAGTTTCTGTGTATTAACACACTGTACTTTACATGTGATGTTAGGGCTGCTCAATTAATCAAATTTTAATCTAAATTACTATCTGGGCTTTCAATGATCATTAAAAAGGACTGAGCCGATTATTAGCACCTCCCTCGTGCTTTACTCTCGCGCTGCTCCGTGTGGCAAATCGAGCGCACCTCTCTGCGTTTCGAACACGCGTCACAACAATTAAGAGGACCCGAGGGAAGCTCGGAAAGCTAAGCAGAAGTTATTTGGAGAGGAGAGTGACTGCTGTTGGTTGAAAAGAGAGGTAAAAAAAACTTCAGTGGTGTGGAAACATTATGGGTTTGTGGAGTCAGACGTGGATCAAGTAGACAGTGTGTAAACTTTGCTACGGTGTCGTAGCTGCACCACAGAGCAACACTGCAAAGTTCACTAAACATAGATGTTTACATTTTTTATTTATTTTTTATATTGCAAACATTTGCACTGTTATCAGTATTATTTTTTGACAATCTTTAAAGCCATTATTGAACACATTGTTATTGTTAAATAAATATCGTCAAATAATCGAGATCTTCAATTTCAGTGAAAATAATCGTGATTATCATTTTTGCCATAATCGAGCAGCCCTATGTGATGTGTTTTCAAAGTGTTCCTGAATTCTTTTTTGAGCAGTGTATTAAAGGATTTCTTGTAAACCTAAGATTCCTTAAAAGCACTAAGTGGAATAATCCCTAATGTTTCTGCTTGACAGCTGTTTAAAGTGGAGATGAAAGGATAGAACAATGAATTTCTGTCAGCCAGTAAAATTACAGCAAGTACAATGCAAGTAAAGAAGAAAAACAAAAACAGGTCCACATATTTACTGAAGTATCGAAAAACACATTTACAGGGTTGTCTGTGAAGGTTCTCAGTCATCCAGGTCATCGTAGTCAAAGGAGCTTGCAAAGAAAAGCGTCTGGACTTCTTTAAGTTACTTGAAGACGTTTCACCTCTTATCCGCGATTTACGGATTGGTTGGTTTATGACACCAACTCTCTGCCATCTATAATCCAGTTTTGAGATCCCT